CTCATTCCAGGACTTCAGTTACATCTGTGTTGGACAACTTCATATAATCCGATAGGTGACTTGAGGATCTGTTCTTTTTTCTTCCCCCAATCTTTTTTCTGTGTGTGCTTTATATGGGGTAGATTTTATTTTTTATTGCTGTGGTCAAGTGTAGTGATCTCTCTCTTTTGCGATGTCTAATTGCAAAATTTTCATTTCAGATAATATATTTTTCATCTTTAGGTGTTCCATTTGTTTTTTTATTTTTAATTTCTCATGTTATTTTTGTGTCTTTCTTTAAATGCATGTGTATAGTTCTAATATCTGTTTTCATGTACTTTTCTGCTAGTTCTGTCACTTTTGGCATTTTGGATCTCTTTCTGCAGACTCATTTTGTTTCTCTTAGTTACAAGTCAATCGTTTTGGTTCTTACCTTGTCTAGTAATTTTTGATTGGAAATGGACATTGTATTATGTTGCCAAGTGTCTGGACTTTTGGGGGCTTTTTTTTCTTAGGGAGTGTTGGTCTTTGTTTTGGCAGATAGTTCAGTTGTTTGCAGGTACGTTTGATCCCTTCATACCCCATTTTTAAGCTTTGCTGGGCCTGCCTTCATTCCAGGAGTAGTTCAGAGTGGTATTCATCAACTCTGAATAACTCAGGAATCCCCAAGGCCTCTTCTGTTTGCCTGTTCAGAGTTCGAATGTTTCTCTGCCTTGAAGTGTTCATCTTACATCTCTCTGGTGTCTGTGGCTTTCCCTCCCTCCCTTCTTTTTCCCTGTCCATGTAGAATTTCACTTTCCTATGCCTGGCTTAGTACTCAGCAAAGACTCAAGGGAACCCCTGTGTAGATTTCTGCAGTTGTTTTTCTGTGTTGTTCACTGTTTTTGGGATTCTGCTACACAACCTCAAGGTGCATCAGTTTTCCTGAACTCCTATCTCTGGCTCTAACTCTGCTAAGCTGTTGGGTTCTTTTGGGGTTTTCTCTGTGTCTATGATCTAGAAATCACCTTCAACAAACATAACCTGGATGATTATTAAACTCACCTTGTTTGTTTCCTTTTTTCGGATATCACAATTCTGTGTTACCTGATGTCCATTATCTGAAAACAGTTGTTTTATGTATTTTAGCTGGTATTCTACTTTTTAAGAGTGGGAGTTCATGTCTGTTCCTTGTTACTCCTTCATGGTGGGAAGCCTAGTTATTTTTTTTTAAGTTGTAAATACTGGTTTTACTACTAGATTTTGTGCTCCCTAAGGAAAGATACCTGAATGTCTTTCTAACTCTAGCACATGGAAGGGATTAAATATCTGTTAATAATGCTCTTTGATTAGGAAAGGCACTAATATTTCCTGTAAGGAAAGCTTTTATTTCACGTTCTTATCATACTCTGAATTTTTAGACATTTCTCATGGGTAGTTGCGACCTGCTTTAAAAGATCACTTAGTACAATTTTGAAAATCATTGTTGTGAAAGAGTTGCATACCGTGGCAAGAAAGTACCAAAATTCAATTTGCCTGGAATCAACATTCCTCTTCTCATGATAGCATTCAACCATGTCTAAGTTATTCTGACCTTGGTTATCCAGGTTATAGGATTATTTAGATCTCTTTTCCTCTCTCCTTCCTTTTTATTCCCTGCTCTTATTTAATGTACTTTGCTTTCTGCTCACATCTCTATTAGGGAGGCTGCATGAGGAGGAGAGGGAAAGAGCTAGCACACATGCAATGAAACTTAGGAATTTGGCTTTTGATTCAGTTTTAATAATGTTTAAATGTTGTCACAAGTAATGTCAAAATCTTCTTTTAGATTTCCATGGCTGCTGGAAATAGAATTTTTTCTTTTGGTGACTGCTATAGGGGTGTTAATTGGCTATTGTCTTTACCCTGTCTAACCAATTCACCAAGTTTAACCTAGATATTGAAATATACTGGGAATTCGAATAACCTTATTGATCTGATATAGTTGGAACATGAGTATGCTAGGGAAAGGACATTGGGGAAATAAGGTGACATTCTTTGTTGCCAGGAATCACTGGGTTTTGTACTAATTAGCCTTGAAAAATGTGGAGTTATTTGACAGACCAGATGTTTTCAGCATGTAGCCATGTGTCTCATCAGTGAATGTGCCTTGTGTCCGCAGGCAACATTGTTAGATTTTTCTCATTCTGTAAACAATGTTCCAAAATATAACTAAACCCCAAAGCATGTTTATCTTTTTGGCTTAATTTCTGGCTTTCTATCCATTCTAAAGTTTCTCGCTAGAGGAATTGCATTTTATTGCATATAGCTCTTTGTACCTAATTGTAGTATAAACACCATTCTGTTTACGCTAAGCCATGTGAATTGTACTGTTTTTTGAGTCTGTAAAATTTTAATAAAAGCAACCATTTCAGATTAAACTATATTTGTACTTTTATTTCTAAATGTAGGGGAAATAAACCTTTCTTCCTTCCATTTATTTGGACTAAGATTTTGAATTTTGGAACACATGAGGGAAAAACAGAAAATAAATAAAAGAAGTAAAACCAGTCCTCTAGTCTTTAGTGTTTGTGGTACTAAGTGCGTTAGAGCAAGAAGAGCTTTACTGTGAAATTCATTCTTAAAATCTAAAATAGAGCTGCAGTCATAAATATATAGGCTGGGAACTGATTTTTTTCCTATGCTAAATATATCATGGGAAATGTGGAAATTAGGAAATTAAAACATGAAGAAGAAAATTATCACCTATAATGTTGCTATCCAAAGGAAAAACATGGTTAACATTTTTGTATATATTTTTCTAGTCATTTTCTGTGTACTTATGTGTGTCTACACATGTATTTAGTGATATATAACTCATACCTGCATATATATTAATAATTTATACATGTGTACATATTTATAATTTTGGAAAACTTTATGATTATACTTACAAGTTCTATTTTTTGAGATAATTTTCACTCAACAATATTGTAAATGCTTTGCTGTTTTGTTAGTCTTTTACTACATAGATATAATGTGTTTAACCAATTCCTTGTTATTAGACATGTAGATTAGTTTTTTATTTGCTAATATATGGTTGGACTTTGCTCTTTGTTTTCCGTGTCTTATTTGTTCTTGTTCATCCTTTACTCCCTTTTTTTGTATTAAATATTTTGTAGTGTTCTATTTTAATTCCTCTGTTTATTTTTTAACGATATATTTTTTGTTTTTTGAGGAAGAGCATCCCTGAGCTAACATCTGCTGCCAATCCTCCTCTTTTTTGCTTAGGACGATTGGCCCTGAGCTAACATCTGTGCTCATCTTCCTCTATTTTATATGTGGGTTGCTTACCATAGCATGGCTTGATAAGCGGTGCATGGCTCCGTACCCGGGATCTGAACCACCGAACCTTGGCCTGCTGAAGCAGAGTGTGCGGACTTAACCGCTACGCCACCAGGCCAGCCCCTTGAGTTACTTTTTTAGAGGTTGCTCTATGGATTATAATCTGTATCTTAATTTATCATAGTCAGCTTTAGGTTGTTGCTGATGTAGTTTTGATATAATAGATAGTAGTACTTTTGCTTCAACTTAGCTCCATTTCTTCTCTCTTCTTTTGTGATATTACTATCATATATATTATCTGTGTATTTTATAAACCCAACAATATGGTGTTATAATTATTGCTTTTAAAAATATTTTTTGATGAAATTTAAAGAAAAAAAGAAAAAATAGTATATTTACTCAGTCTTTTATATTTAGCATATATTTACTATTTCCTACGCTCTTCATTTCTTTCTGTTAATTCAAGTTGCTGTCTGCTGTCATTTCCTTTCTGGCTTCCTTTAGTGTTTCTTGTAAGGCAGATCTGCTAGCAAGGAATTTTCTCGGTCTTTGTTTATCTGGGTATGTATTTCATTTTCATTTTTAGAGGATGGTCATCAGCTAATGATTGGTCTGAGTTTGTACTCAAACAAACTTAAGCCAATAAGGTTTCCACCCTTTGTCAGTGGATTTGTGTTTGGGTTAGGGAGTGCGTTAAAAATTCAGGCAGTTTTCAAGTCTGTCTGAGCTCTTACTTTCTGCCAGGCCTTCTCCTATGTGCGTGTCTGCAGCCTCCTAGTCAGCCAAGGATGTGTGGACTGCTTAGGGCCTTTTGGGTGTCTGCTGTGTGTGTGCACAGCCTCGCAGTCAGCGAGGGATGTGCAGAGAGCTATCAGGGCTCTTCTCTGGGTCTCTAATATTGCCACGACTTCTCTGTTAAATTTCTGATTAGTTCTCTAATGTGCCTTTTGTCCCAACCCAGGCTAACTTCAGGCTAGTAGAACTGGAGGTTTTCCCTTTTTTTAAACTAGTTTTAACTAGTTTTTAACTTTTCCTAACAGTGCCACTTGCCCTCTGCTTCAAATCCTGTCAGCCCCTAATGGCAGGGAAGCTGCTGATTTTCATGACAAGCCCTAACCAATGACTGGAGGGGTGGAGTGTGGGGGGTGGGGGGGGCGGAGTGGGGATGAGAAGGAATGGTAGCCCCAGGCAAGAACACCACACAGTCCCACTGTTCAGCAGTTTTCATGACTACACACTTCTTAATTTGTTATTCTCCTTTGGTCAATTTCCAGAGCCCTGAAATGGTTGTTTGGGACAATTTTGTCTGGTTTATATTTGTTTTTTGGGTAGAAGATTTTTTACGCTCTTCCCTGTGCCATAGTTGTAAGTCTAGCCTTGAGTACTTTATTTTGTAGGATGATTTTGTTGGCATTGATGTCATCATTTTGTATTTCCTTTTATTCTTTATGTAATGAATTTCATTGGTAGATTTTCTAAGTTTTCTGTATTCTAGGGATAAAATCTTTTTTGGTTATGATTTATTAAGTTCTTTAATGCATATATTAATCTTTAATAATTTGGTATTTTTCCATTGATGTTTTTATTGAAACTTAATACTAGATTTGTCTTAATGTGCAGTGAAAACTAGTTCAGGCTAGAAATTTTGCCTGAGGAATATATCTGTGCCCCTAAAGAAGATTGAGTTGAGCTAAAGGTGATAAAATTCCTTTTTATAGGCATTATCCTGCACTGAAAACTCTGGAACATCTAGAGCATACCTATCTGCCTCAAGTAAGCCACTATCGATTCTGCAAGGTGATGGTGGACAACATCCCCAAGCTTCGAGAAGAAATTAAGGATGTTTCTATGTCTGATCTCAAAGACTTTCTGGAGAGTATCCGCAAACATTCAGACAAAATTGGAGAGACTGCCATGAAGCAAGTAGGTCTTGGGTTTATGATAGGTTGGCCAATGACTTTGCAAGTATTCTGTTAAACACAGATTTCTCTTTGCTAAGTGTCTTAATGTTTCTTGTCATTTTAGGGAAGTCCTTCATTTTTATGGGAACATATGATTAAAAAATGTGTTTTATTTTCTTAACAGAGCAATGAATTATTTACTAGTATATTGTTTTGCTCTGTTGATGTTCAGTAAATACTGATTGATTGTGATGGCTTATTTTGGGACTTTGAAGAAGTTTTTCAATTTTTTGAGTACTTTCCTTGAGTTTAGATATGATTTGAAGCCTAGGGTTTTTAAGTTCTCTTTCTAGTTAGTGAGAAAAATTGTGCTTCAGGTACCTTTGGTTTGATTATTTACTGTGTAAGCAAGATGTCAGGTTATATATGAATATTTCTGGAATTGTTATTTCTGATATCAATGAGTGTCAGTGAAAAACAGCCTGTTGGGAAATGCTGTGAATTATGATCACAGAAAGGGATTTATTTACAGCTTGTAAATTAACAAATGTTTTGGAAATATTTAGGTTTTTTTCTTTCAATATCTTCATCTCTAAGTCATGAAAACCACAAGGAGCATCCGGATTTCTTTTGTCATCATGAATAAAAGAGCACTAATGATTTGCAGTACTACTTGCTCTTTTGAAACTTAACTCACATTGATTTTATTAAAATTTCTCAGTATACTTTATGATGTAACTTACAACAATAAATAGAAGATTCAGTTGTTTATGGAAAGTGTTTTTTGGTTCTATAAACAACTGTGTCCTTGAATAAGTCATTTTTAGTTCTTTTTCTGTGAAGAAGGAGGGAGTAGGTCATATTCTGGATCATACTTTTGGTCTCAGCTAGCCTTGGTAATTTTTCTTCAGATGTCTGTTTGATTCTGCAAAAGAGATTTGCCTGTTGGAAATCCCTTTCATAAGGGAATGCGGATACTCTTTTTCTCCTTTTAAATTTTGTAAGTGTTATGCTTTACACAGTGGAAAGATTAAAACTAGTTGATGATAAACCTGCTGGAAATACTCATGTCATTTTTTTAGTAATGAAGAAACAAAATTAATCATTGAAAATATACCTTTGCTTTGCTGGGTGTGTGTTTTGAGTACAGGAATGAAGGTATCTTGTGAGACAAGTCTTTATTGTGGCTGACCAATTTTTCCTAAACTTTCAAATATGAGAGAGTTATCGTATAAAGCCTCTGTGGAACCTTCCTTTTTTAAAGTTGCGCTTCTTCTAGGCCTCTGCTTGAGAAATTAACTTTACTTCCTTTTTGGTGAAAGAGGATTCCGTGAAGAATATTATTATTTCATTTAATGTGAGATTATCTGGTCTCACTCCTTAATTATCTGAAAAAATTAAGGCCCAGGGCAGGGAAATGACTTGCTCAAGTTCAGACAGCTTGTAAAGGTCAGATCCTATAGTAGAATTTAGGTTAAACTGAGGTGAATTTGCCTACTGTGGCACTCATTCTGTGTAAACTATTAGCTGTTTGCTATATTTTTGTCATATAAAGACATGATAAAGAAACCTTTTGTGAATTTAGAAGTTTTAATTAACTAATAACCCTTCATTCCTCCTATAAATTTTTTTACCTCAAGTATCGCTCTTATTGCATATATTATTATCCTATGCTATGGTATATATAAAATCCTTGAATAAAAATATCTTATAAATTTTAAATCTTCTGTAGTACCTAAAAAGTGAGGAAAGTAGGAGAGAAACTACTACATACTTTGCCACATAGTAGGTGTTCCTTAAATATTTGTTTGAATTTATAGAGGTTGGAAAAGAGGGAGAGGATATGGTTTATTTCTCACTTATGTAAAGCCCAGAATGTTTTTGATTTGTGATTGTTTCTTTGCAATGGTGATTTAGAGACTCTTTCCATTGTATAGCTCTGCCATTTTTAATATAGCTTTGAAGATTGCTGCAGAAGGGGAAAGACCAGAGTATTGTATATGGGAGGGTTTTTAAGGGCTAGTCATGGATGTGACACATTATCACTTCTACTCACATTTCATTGGCCAGAATTTAATTACATGGCCATACTTACTTGGAAGGGAGGCTGGGAAACATAATTTCACTGTGTCCCTAAGAGGAGAAGGACACAGGTTTGGTGAAGAGTAGGTAGCCCCTGGCACAGTCTACCCTTTTGGTCATCAAATAGCTCTTCACTCTCTCTCTCATCCGTAGAACACACTTTGCCCCTTCCTTAAGGAGGGCAACCCAGTATCCCATCTAGTCGCTACATCTCTCTCAAAGTCTAGTATCTTCCAGGAATGCTCAGTACTCTCCATTAGATCCTGATGTGTCTCTTCATGGGCTGGGTGACCAGGAACTAAGGTGACAAGTTTGCACCTATGTCCCCTCGCACCCCCAATATACAATGAAGGAGCTAGAATAGAATAACTACGATAGAAACTTCCATTTAGAAAAGAGAAGAATAGGAGATGCACAGTGTTCCTCCCTGTTTTATATCAAGTCATGTAATCCTTTTGGGCCGTCACTGGGAAATCCTTCTGCATTGGTAGTAGGGGAACTTCCTTGCATGGATGTTGACTTTCTGGAAGGAACTCCTTTATCCATCATTCTCCTGGGGTCCTGGCTGTACCATGGTTTTTGTTTCTCTATTTTTTTTCTACGGGGACTTCTGAAGTGGGTGCTGGGGAATGTACCTTCCTTAGAAGGTCTCTCTCTCTCTGTCTGTATGTATATCTACATCTACATTTATACCTACAACCACATCTGTGTCTACATATATCTTTCATTACCTGCTTTCTGCTTTTGCAAGTTTAGGGGCCCGAGGGTTGTCTTAAGGCTCTGAACAGTCAAAGGTTTATTCAGTCCAGATTTGTGGGTGTTTGGCGTTATAGTTAGCTCAAAAGTTATTAGATCTCTGATCTGTTTCTTTCCAGTTAGGTTCTATGTGGACACCATACCCAGTGTTCTTTTCTAAATATAAATAATAATGCATATCTTCCATATCTCTTGCCTTTTTTCCTCACAATTTTCTCTTTGACATTTTACCCCCGTATGTTTGCCTACTAATTTACTACTTCAGTTTTTAGCATTGTCAGTGCTGCTCTTCAGAACTTTATCATCATTATTGTTTTTAGTTCAGCAATTGCAATTTGGACATAAAAATTTGTTCTTTTTTTTAAAAAAAAATTTCTAAGTAGCCTTCTTTAGAATCATATGAGAAAACAGGTTTGAAAGTCTTACTTAATATTGATAGTTGATCTGGGCTCTTCTAGATATTATATAGTTGATTTTGCCTTTTCTTTGTGGACATCTCCCTTTTTTTTCTTCCACCCACCATATCCTGAGTTTCTGCATTGATGTATGAGTGGAATTTGTCCTTGGTATAGTGAAATTATGGAGGCAGTTGGTAGATTGGCTTCTCTTTGGGATATACCAGCCAAAACAAACTACCAGAAGGGCTCCACCCTAATTAAGCTTCAATGAACAAATTAGGCTCCAAACTTTTACCTGAGATTATAATCTCAAACTGTTTGTCGTCCAATTTTATCAAAAGATAATGATGCAATAAACCCTTTTTGAAGATAATCTGAAGGTTTTGTAGTTTACCCATTCCTCTGTATTCAAAGTGTTATATTGTCTCTGGATAAAGCTTTATCAGTAGGAAGTTCTTTACCTTGATTGCATGTAGTAGGCAGAATGCTAGATGGCCCCCAGAAATCGTGCCCCCTGGTGTGTGCATCCTGTAAAATTCCCTCCCCTTGGGTGTGAGCACCTGATCTAATCAGGCGAATTTCTTTAAAAGAGAATCTGGAGGTCAGATATAGAAGGTAGAGAGATTCAGAGCTGCAGGAGATACTCTGCTGTTTGTCTTGAAGAAACAAACAGCCATGTTTTGGGGAGGGCCACGTGGCAGGGAGCTGTAGGTGACCTCGAGTTGCCAAGAGCATAGCTGACAGCCGGGAAGAAAATGGGGACCTGAGTCCTACAAGCACAAGGAATTGAATTCTGCCAACAACAGGAATGAACCTGGAAGAGAACCTGAGCTCCAGATGAGACCACAGCCTTCCTGGCAGTGTGATTTTGATAACAAACACCTTAATCTCAAGTTTGTTTGCCCTGTGCGCAATAAGCCAATCATTGAGACATGGCTTCTTGGAAATGGAGAAAGGCTTACTCAAATTGGCCAAGATGAGAAAGCAGGAGGATAAATCCGCCTTCACAAAATAAGAAAGCAGGGGATTTTATAGAGCTAAGGGGTTTGAGAAGAGGAGTTTGGGAGAAACAAAGGGGAAATCTATGTTTCTTTCACTCCAGATAAGCCCTTTGGCAGTCAGACTTCTGGGTGTCAGTGGCAGCTGGGGGCTGGCTATCTGGTGATCATAACTTCTTTGAAGGCATTCTTTTTTCCTGCAAAACAAGCTCATAAATCCTGTGACCCTTGAGTCACCCCTCGGGTTAAACAAGAAAATAGCAAATTAACAAGATTAAATTCTTTTTATCTGTGTCTGTGTTGGGAATAAGGTTGAAGGGTAATTATGTTATTATTGAATATTTCTAGTATCCCTCAGGTACCTAGCTTCAGTTTCAGCCTAGTGAGACCCTGAACAGAAGACCCAGCAAAAACATGCTGAACTCCTGACCCATGGAAACTGAGATGATAATTGTGTGGTTTTAGGCTGCCAAGTTTATAGTTATTTGTTACACAGCAGTAGAAAACTAATACACTCTGTTATTTTGGTCTTGAGTAGAATTACTTTTTACTAAACTGTACCTTTTTATTTTGCCTTTGGATCTAGGAAACACTGGTATAGTCTGGTTTAAAATAGTGTCTAGCTAGAAGTCTCTGAGTCTTCTCTTGTCTTCCAGTATTCTTGGGAACCTGCAGAAAAGTAAGAAAATGTACAAGTATGAAAACCAGGGTAGAATTTCAGTTATTTAGCAGAATCTGAGGAGGAATTTTAAAATTGTCCATTCTACTGTTTATTACCATATTGAATT